TAACGCTAAAGCTTTTAACACAACAATACTTTATTCTATTTATTTTCTACTTATTTTTTCTGTGCATTTCCCATTAAGCATTCCCCATTCTCTTATAATGCTTAGCTGATAGGAGTATGTTAGTGATGAGAATAGTGGAAACGTAAAATAAAAGAAACTCTGAAATTGCTAGGCTTAGAAAGTATGCCATTTTTTATAGTCCGAAAACGTTTCATCTTGGCGTTCAACATGTGGCGACGCTATTTAGCCTCAGCCAAAATTGATAACAAAGACACTTACTGAGTATATTTCGGCATTTCGCCAAAGAACAATACGGATCTCTACTCATATGTCTACATTTTACAGTTAGTAAGCGTGAAAGACCCTTCACCATCTTTTGAAGAAGTTTTATTTCCTAGATACGGATCAGTTGTTCGCGATGGCAGGACCAGTTGATAGTAACTAGCCCCTATGAATAGAACGAACAGATTTTAATGCTGTACAAGAGTTCAATGAGAACTGTTTACAGTATTTTGAGTTTTTCTTTTCCAGAGAGATTGTTTGTGATGCGGCGTTAATGATAAACAGTGAGTATAGTAGATTATCGGAGGCCTAGCAATGTTCTAGCAAAAGCGAAATTTTGGAGTACAGAATTCTCCATAGTGAGTTAGTCAGCAGTTCACAAAAAATACAGCAATTTCAGGGAGACTCACTTTGGAAACTCTTTGTTTTAACAAAAAGACTCTAGGTGATCCTGACTATTCTTAAAGATTCGCATACCAGTATAAGCGTTTCGAAACACTCATCTTAAATCTGCCTTGTGAGAAAATTTCCATAGGAACTTACGAGGACTTTTACATTTATTGTTCAGTAGCAAAGAATCCGCGGAAACAGTACTGCAACAGATCAGCTTTGACTGAGCTAGGAATCAGCCACAAATAAGCTCCGTTGACACTTTTCCTCCAGATTAAATTATGAGCTGTTAGGCAAAGTAAGCCCTAAACTATATTTTTTATAAGCCTTCATGTCTTACTTCAGAGGCTCAGCATAGATAATGAAGGCAGATTTGAAATCAGCGTTATAAGACGCATTAAACAGTGATAACTTTTTTGTAAAGCATGGTCTTAGTCTCCTTCCCACGTAAGAGGACTTTTGGAAATATCAATACTCATTTGGTCAACATTATGCTTATTTCTAGGGGAATGCACAACAATCATTCATCATCCTTCCGCTGGTTTCGTCCCACATGATCGCATGTGTATTGGTCGAGTTGGATTGATGCAGTGTCGCGAGAAATGTTTGAGTGACGGTGCTGAGAGGTGAGCAAATGTGGTCTGATACCGTACCCACATAATCAATATATTGATCTTCAATTCAGAACTACTGCACGCTGCGTTCGACAACACGAATTTCCGTTTCAAAAGCGTTGTCTCTGCCAGGTGAGACGCTCACCAATGCACACAGTAGACGGTGGCAGTCATAAAGTTGGCAAGAACCCAGCACTACGGAACACGACAGAAATGCCAATCAAACGTGCACTGCTAGAAAATCTAAGCGAAAAGAAGCGAAATCACGAGTTAGATGCCGGAGATGTGCCATTGTTGAAGGAGGACGTCTGTACTGAAAATAATGGGGATGAAGTTTGCGATCGAAAATGCAGTAGCAATGACACAAATAGGTTAGTGTATCTTAGCTTATTCTTAAGGAATACTAAATGTGTTGCTTCACTTCCTGTTAAAAGTTTGATTAGAGCAGCGATTCTGCTCACTATAAGATCGGGGTTGGCTACAGTAACTCCCTGTGAAAGAGTAAGGAGATGTGTCCGAAGCTTAGCCAGAAGTAATGTTCCACTAAGTTAAGGTTCAGTGGGAGTTACATGGTGTTTCAAAAAAAACATGA